TTAGCAGTGTCCACTAATCTCTAATTACCATTAGTCTAAGGAGTACATAGTTTTCTAGAAGATAATTCTAGGTACCTCACCAGTCTACACATCACAGAGTTTCATAGCAGAAGTTGCAGTAAATACCACTTTACAGCAAACAGTGCTATGACTGTGTATCATTAGCATGGTCATGGAAACTCAGAAGCTTAAAAAGCACAGAACAGTTACTCCTATAAAAACAAGAGTCCAGTGAGGTCTGAACACATTTAGTGGCCAAAGAATGTCAAGTGCTGTTTAGGGAAAGAACATTTAAAGTACATGTATGTGTTTGAGAGAAAGCATGTGCACTATGAAATGTCCAGTATGAACTTTTAACAGTTTATAGTGAGTGAGTGACCAATTGAACCCTTAGGCTGAAATCCAGTGATTAGTCCCATCCAGACTGGATTTAACCCAATGGATTCAAAGCACTAGAAAGGAGATTTTGATAAAATATTTGGAAGAGCTACCAGGCATTAGAATATATCTGTCAATGAAACAGGCTATTATGCAGGATATTATGCAACTTATATTCCCATCAGACCCCTACCACTTTAGTTCACTGCTGCCACAATATCTGAATTCCAGTATTGTAATACATAGTAGTGGCATTCAAACTTTTTACCCTTGGGCACCCCTTTTGCATTAACATGCAACATCATACCCTCTCCTACTTAATGCAGTATACAAATAAAAATATTTTGTTTATTTAGTGTACCTATTTTCATTTGCACATTCATGTATCTTCATATTTTAACATTTTAGTGGGCTCTTGGTATCCACCAAGGTTTGGTTTCAGGACTCACCCACCACCCAACCCCCCATGGATACCAAAATCTATGGATGCTCAAGTCCCTTTAAAAAAATGGCAGGGTAAAATGGTGTCCCTTACATAAAATGGCAAAATCAAGGTTTGATTTTTGGAATTTATATATTTTCAAGCTATGGATGCCTGAATCAATGAACAAAGCATCTGTGGCTATGAAGGGATGACTGTGTAGGGAAATAATATCATTCAAATTAGAACAGTTTTCTTTAAGTACATTCAATATTTAACTCAATGCATGTGTAAACTTTACACATAAAAAAGATTAGGAAGAGGAGTAATAAGAGGGATTAGAGCCTCCAAGACTCATGCCCCCCTTTGAGCAACTTATCCATGCTACCCAGGGATCCTGCCCTATGATCTGAGAATCACTGATATATAGCATCCCCGGGGGCCCAAGTGTGTGAACACAAAAACAACACTTTATTAACAGAAGCTGACCATAACAAAACAATTTAATTATTTAATATATTTAGAATATATCTCACACACTTTGCTCCTAGCTAATTCAGACTCTTAAATGCCATTCATTAATTCCTAAACCTGGCTGATTTTATTAACCCTAAGTCTCCATGGACTCACTTCTTTCTTTATTCTCTAGCTCTGACTATATCAGCTGTGATAAACTATCAATCACAAATCTTATTCAAATCCCATCAGACATTCCACCAAACACTACTCACTGTCATCATTCCATTCTCTTACTCCCTCTGGACAGCTCCTTACTTAAATAACCTCTAGTACACTGTGCATGCATAAACAAATTACCTTAATATATAGTAAATTAAAAGAGAGTCAGTGTACTATAGTGGTTTGAGCATTGGACTGTGTCTCCGGAGACCAGGGTTCAAATCCCAGCTTGGCCATGGTAAACTACTGGGTGGCCTGTCATGCCGTGCCTGGAGGAGGGTAAGCCAGAACCTCTTCTGGGACCTGAGCCTGCAGCTGAGGAGCCTCAGTCCAGCCCTAGTTCTGCTTTGCCAGCTCCAGCAGAGCATTTGGTCTTCCAGGAGACTCCGCAGCATGGTAATTTAAGCAGGTGCAGAAGGTCTGTCTCAGTGTCAGAGATTATCTGTGCTTCCTAGCAAAAGCCTCTGTCTTTCCTTGTTCCTTGGCCTGAAACCTTGACACTCAGACTGCTGACTTATCTTGAACTTTTAGAACCCTTATCTTTGGACTGCCTTGTCATTCTGCCTCTGGAAACCTTCAGACTGCTTGACCATTCTCTGGCTGGACCTTTGGATTGGTAATATGGACCTTTGCTTTCTTGCTCTCCTTTAGCAAAGGACTTTTGTTTGCCTTCAACCCTCACAAGGAGCTGCTATCAGCACTCTTGGTGGCTTTCCTGGACATGACCTTGGGCAAGTCACACTCTCTCAGCCTCAGAATGACAATGGCAACCCCCCTCCCTGTAGAAATTTGCAAAGAAAACCTCATGATAGGTTCACCTTAGGGTTGCCATAGGTCAGAAGCAACTTGAAAGCATACAACAACAGTAATTTAAACATTTTTCCCAGAAAATCTGTGACATCAAGCTGCACCTAAGGAATCCTGGAGTTTGTAGTTTGATGAGTCACAAGAGCAATGTGGCTGCAATTTCCTAATGCCTCTCCCTAAACTGCCAACCCAAAAAATCCATGGGATGGAACCTAGGCTTGAATGGGATGCACCCCCATGGGGGCCCACTCCATTGATTTAAATGAAGGTCGCCCCTCCATGAATATGCAAAAGCATGTCTGTGAGAATGGTGCAGCAACTGTATAATTCTATAGAGTGAAATGGCACTGGTTAGAAAGTGAGGATAGATTGACACATTTTGTAACAGGTGCTGTTTGTGCTATAACAGGTGCAACCATCTCTACTATTAGCTTTAAACAGTCTGCTGAAGAATATATTAACAGCAGATGGGGGAGAATATTCAGCTGTTTGTAAAAACTGAAGGATGGGGAGCTTTGACAGTGATTTTTAGTGTGAAAATAGGAACACAACCTAAATACATATGTATTTTCTCCCATCCAGGAGAAGGCAGGGTATAAATCCAATTGACTAATCTTTTCACCTATGAATATTGGGAGGGGAAGGCAATTTCTGAAAATAGTGAACAAATTAGGTTCTGCCTTTCTGTTAACTAATCTGCATTTAAAATGGGACAAAGCACAAAACAGAGGTATGGTAATGAAAGAAACAATCTTAGACCTGAATGAAGATAGAAAAAGAAACCCAAAAGATTGGCCTGTACCAAATAATCTAATATAATGCCTCAAGAGTCAAGTTGATTTATCACTGTACTTTGCTCACAATATGTCCTATTAAACTGACAACTTGTGGCTTTCATAATCATCATATAACATCTCTAAAGAAAAATTCCAAATCTGTCCACATACATCAAATCGCCTTTTTATATCATTACACCTGCCAAAATAGAGCTTAATTAAAATGTCATAAAACCTTCATGGAAACACATTGTTATACTTCCTGCACCCCCCATCCCCATTTTGCATGCTTTTTCTTCATTAGCAAAACACTTATTGAGGATACTTTGTATTTGAGCTTTGTAGAACTATCTGAAATACAAGCAACAAGAAGAGAACCATACCTTAAAACCACTCATACAGTCAACCCCGGATATCTCATGGGGGTTGCAGACTGCCAGAAATAGTGCAAATTGAGTCCACTTTTAGGGTTAGGGTTAGTGCTAGGGAATCATGGGAACTGTATTTTATTGTGGCACCAGAACTCTCTGACAGAGAAGGCTCAATGTCTCATAAAAAAAAAAATCCCCATGATTCCCTAGCACTAACCCTAACCCTAAAAGTGGACTGAATTTGCACTATTTCTGGCAATCTGCAACCATTTAAAACCCACTGTATCAACCAATACATAATGTTAGCAATGACTTGACTTGATTCAGTGTCAGCAAAGGAAATTTATAGCAATTAATTTTGTCTGGATCCAGGCCACTGTGTTTTTGGTACTTTTAAGAATTTTAAGTTTAAAGTTTAAAGCTTGAACTGGGAATAAATGGGTTTCTTTGTAGCCAATCCTACTGTAGCTATGTGTAGCTGCATACAACAGGCTGCTTGTCACACTGCATGTTGACACTATTTTAACTGTCATAGCTCCATCCTATGGAAACCTTGGATTTTCAGTTTGTTATGGCATCAGAGTTCTCTGACAGAGAAGACTAAATATCTCACAAAATGATAAACCCCAGAATTCCATAGCATTAAGCTATGGTAGGTAATACAGTGTCAAACTGCATTAATTTGCAGTGTGGATGTAGCTTTAAACAGCAGTTGCCTCCAGAGTCCCTTACTAAGCATTTGTGAACAACAAAACAGAGAAAACAGGAGAGCAGATAAGCTTGCATCATCAGCTACCCCAGCATCTTAAAAGAAAACCCATGTACAGACTGGAATTTTGAGCCAGCATTTGGGCAGAGTGGTGACATAATGGCTACACACCGAAACGCCATCCCAATGCCAGCATCACCACTCACCTGACCAGATGGTTGGTGGTGTCATGCTGCATCTTCAGCACAGCATTTAGACTTTTGCCACTCTAAAAAAAGGAGCAGCAGTTTGCTGGTTCTTTTTAAAGCTGAATTGGGGCTGTGGCATGTGGTTGCTGCTGCACAATCTGGTACTGAAAGGGGTACCAGAATGCCTCTCTTTTTGGACAGTCTGTTCAGTCTGTTTAGTTCTATGAGTTTAGCCACCAAAATGAAAATATGAGAAGAGTGGAGGCTGGTGAAAGAAAAAAGGTCATTCATATATGTATTTGAGGGGAAGCCTTCATGTGGTCTCTAGAAGACTCAATATAATAATATGTTTTTGCTTACTTATGCAAGCTCACTTGAAATGATTGTTTCATTTCACAAGCTCATATTGTTGTTGTTTTTAAAATAAAAAGTTTGCAGAAACACGTGGAATAGGTCTTCATTTTAATGGTGTAGGAACCTTTCATTATTCCTTCTCTGCCTCTGCCTCTGGTATCAACAAATATCTGCTTCATTAACTGAGATATACCTGTGTACATTTTCCTGGGAATAAGTTCTATCAGAGATAATGGGACTTACCTCTGACTTGGCATGAACATGATTGTACTACTAAATGCTGCTCCATTTCTGATAATTGCTTAGAGTGCTAGACTGGCACACTTACTGGCATGTTAAATGACTAACAAAGTACACTTGGACAAGACGGTTTGTGTTCTACAACAGATGTTTGATTGCTTTTGTTGCTTTCAAGTCATTTCCAACATATGGTGACTGTAAGGTGGGATGCTATGTGGCTAAGAGTGTGCAACTTGCCAAAGGTCACCCAGTGGGGTTCTATCTCTGAGTGGGGAATCAAACTCTGATCTCCAGAGTTGTAACCCAAAGCTCAAACCACTATACCACACTGGCTCTCAAATCTTTGATTAAAATCTTTCCATGTGATGTGAATGTTAATTTTAAAAAGTGGTTAATTTTGTCTAGATACTAAAGGTTTCTTGTAGAACTCATTATTCATGAAGAGCTCAACTATAACTCCTAGAATCCCCCATACTGTAAAGCCAGTAGGTCTTCTGGCTGTGGGACTCTGAAAATTGTAGTCCCAAAAGAAAACTTTTCCGGGCTATCAACTTCAAAATAACACATAAGTCTTGTCTAATCTCAGAAGCCCTCTTGTCAGTATATTTTCATTACATTGTTATAGAAGTTTGATGCTACTTTTAATGCCTTGATTCCAACTAGTGGAATCTTGGGATTTGTAGTTTAGAGAGGAACTCAGAATTTTGTGCTGGAGAGCAATAGTTCACTCTCCCTGTTCAGTGCTAACTCTGGAGCTTTCTAGCAGAAAATTCTATAACCACAATTTCATAAGATGGAGCCATCATATAAAACTGGTATAACTGTGAAGTGTAGGCACATTACATAGTGCTTAATTCACTATGACTAGGTCAAGAGTTAAGACTTTTTGAATATCAATCTGTCCTCTCCCAAAGCTAAAGTGTGCAGAAAAAGGAGAAAGGAGTGTTTATCAACTACCTATACAATTACCTATGTGGTCCCCAAGAGATCAACACCTGCAAATGAAACCCAAATGCATATGAAGAAAAAAGGCTTTTCAACCCCTATAGTGTACTATAGACTCAGTTCCAACAGATTTAAAATAGAGCAAACAGTCAACTTGAAAGAATTGTTCCAGCCTTTCAGTATTAGCAAGATATTTAATAATGGATGTGACCTTTCTGAAATAACAAGTACTTTGATTTATTATGTTATATTGCAATTGCAGAAAGTTTTGTCTCTGTTTTTAAACCTCATTGCCTGCTGAAATAATGTGCTTTTACTAAGTGCATTTTAGCATATGTTCAAGGACAAAGTTAAATCTACTTTTAAAACACACATGGAAAGCAGGAGAAGAGAGGGCTAGGGATTATAATCTGTTTCAGAATTTTTACTTACATTACCTGAGAGTTCATATTAAGAGATAAGAAAGTACTGTGTTCATGAACAAAATTATCATAGAAATACTGTCTCTAGTGAGATTCAAAGAAATCTGAGGAACTTTCTTCAAGTGAAAAAAAAAAAGGTATTCTGAAGAACCCAGATAAAACTCAAGAAAGCTATGGTAGTTATCTTGAAAATACTACTCATATTTAAAACCCCTCCAAATTCCACTCAAAATGGAAGTCAGTTCTTCTTTAGCAGAAATGTTAGTTGAATTTTCAAGGAAGCAAGTATGGGATGAAAAAAGCATTAGTATAGTCAGCCATCTGTATCCACAATTTTTTTGGCCATGGGTTCAAGCCAAAACTTGAACCCATGTTTTGGAATCAAACCCTAGCAGATACCAAGGAGGGCCTGCTGTAAAGATGG